AAAATATTTTAAGATTGATATCTCAGGGTAGTATGTCCCTTTTTCCCCCTTTTAATAAACTTCTATTTCTTATTTCCTCAGCTGGACTCAGACTTTTGCTTTTAAAATAACCTTTCCCCATTAGCCCGTTAGCTCTCGTTTTTCAGACGCGGCTCCTGATGGTGAGAGTAAAACCTCCTACCTGGATTTTTCCCAGAACCCCGGTGGTCTCCATCCTGCTCGCCACATTAACGCTGTTCCCCCAAATATCGTACTGAGGTTTCTGGGCCCCAATCACCCCCGCAATCACGGGCCCGTGGTTTATCCCTAGAAAAAAGATAGAGAAACGTGGAGATAGTCTTTTAGAATAAATCCTGTCCCGTTTGGGGGATTTTCTGGTGTTTTTGTCCTGTTTCCATGTCAAGTCAAGTCAAACTTTATTTATATAGCACATTTAAAATAACCAAGGTTGCCAAAGTGCTGTACATAAAAAGCATGTATATGTGATTTTAATGTAAAAATAAATAAATAAATAGATAAATAAGAAAAATAAAAAAGGTAAAAAGGTGCTCTACCTCAACCTAAGGTTAAAATGTTATATAGCACATTTAAAATAACCAAGGTTGCCAAAGTGCTGTACATAAAAAGCATGTATATGTGATTTTAATGTAAAAATAAATAAATAAATAAATAGATAAATAAGATAAATAAAAAAGGTAAAAAGGTGCTCTACCTCAACCTAAGGTTAAAATGTTAAAAGCCATGTCAAATAAATGGGTTTTTAAACAGGACTTAAACTCCTCTATGTGGTCATGTCATTTCCTGTTTTATTTTGATAAGTAACCTTCATGTCTCTTGCACTTCCTGGTGTGTCATCTGTCCAATTCTCTTCCCTGATCACCAATTGTGTTCACCTGGAGTTCCCTTTTCCCTCACGTGTTAAATAGTGCAAGTTTCTCTTTGTTTTGGGCCAGTTTGTCTTCGTCCTACATCCTACTGAGCTGAACCAAACCATAGTGATCCTTCCCTTGTGCCTTGAACCTGTTTATTCCTGTCTAAGAGTGATTTAGATTTTGTACTTTCTAGTGTTTGTTCTCGTCTCCGAGTGTTGTTTTGATACTTTGTTTTTTTTATATTTTTGCCTGCCTCAATTGAGTGATTAACTCAACTCAACTCAACTTTATTTATAAAGCGCTTTCAGTCAGCCAAAGCTAAAATCAAAGCGCTGTACAGGCCATTTGAGCAGATCATAAAACACAATTATCACCACAACACAAGACAAACTCAAAGATTAAAAAAAACAGTAAGAGCAAAAAATTAAATAAAATTTAAAAATGTAAAAAAAGAAAAATAAGAAAAACAAAACCTAGTAAGAGAGGGAAATTAAGACGACTAAGATACAGTGGAAGTCTCACTCAAAGGCCTGAGAGAAAAAGTGGGTCTTTAAAAGGGTTTTAAAAGAGCTGAGTGTAGGGGCCTGTCTGATAGAAAGGGGGAGAGCATTCCACAGTTTCCATTCCAGATTATTATCTGGTACTTTGCCTTCTTCTCCCTGCCAAGCAGGCAAAAGATTAAAAAACAAAGTATTAAAACAATACTCACTTGGAGACGAGAACAAAAACTAGAAAGTACAAAATCAAAATCACATGAGGGAAAAGGGAACTCCAGGTGAACGCAACAGGTGATCAGGAAGAGAGTTGGACAGATGAAATACCAGGAAGTTCAAAAGAACTGAAACGAGAGGAGGGTTACTTATCAAAATAAAACAGGAAGTGACGAGACCACGTGGAGACGGGATAAAACACCAAAAAATCCCCCGGGCGAGACAGGATTCAGTCCAACTGAAGCTCATTAAGCTTGATCCAAGAAAAATAGGAAGAATATTGGATTTTTTTAGTCTGAAGTCTTTCTTTGGCCCCTCAACAACATATGAAGAAAAAAAAAACAGAAATGATTTTGATCAAATTAGCGTGCAATAAGTCAGAAATCTATGTTGGTGTAGTCTTCTACTGGCTGTTATCAGGTATATCTGAATGTGTTCAACAGGGGTTTGAGCAAAGCTTTTACCACTGAATGATACAGAAAGTCTCAGATCCAAAAGAAACCGGATCAGTTATGACACATTTGGCTCTATAGGGTTAAACACAATCTATCAGATGTGCGTCGTTTCCGTGGTGACCGACTGTTTCTCACCGATTCTTAGCCTGAAGTCGTTGAACGAGTGCTTGTTGATCACGTCCAGCTTCCCAACGAGAGCAAAAGCAAACTCCACCATCGTGCCGATGTGCATGTACTGCCTGTCGTGCTCCTGAGGAGGAAAAAAGAAAGTTAAACGGAATTTTCCCGTGCACTTCAAAATAAAAACACGCATCCTGTTGCTCATTCTGACAAAGAAATCACAAGTTTTCCATCTTCTATAAACACAGAAGATGGAAAACTCAGCATGAAAACCTTTTTGTTAAAAAAAAACAACACAAAGTAAGAGAATCAGTGGACGGATTTATTCATTTTCTTTCAGGAAAATAATAATAAACACATTAATGCAAAGCAAAAGAGAAGAATCGAGGATGTTTGGGATCACTGAGCGTAAAGATTCAGTTATTTTATCATTTCTAAAAAGAGAAACAATCTTAAGGCTAATAAAAATGCTTTTTTCTGTAAAAACCAGCTCTTAAATTCTCAATTAACTTCTCATTTTCTGTCGCTATTTTTCTGTAAGACTGCTTTGTTAAAAAAAAAAAAAGGCTCTGATTGGTCCACTTCTGTGGTTTTATCTTAGACTTTTCTTCTAATAAAAAAAAGTAATATAAGCAACGTCTCCTAAAACCACATGTTTAGTCAGAGTTGGAGCAGATAAGTGTAGGACTCCAGTAAAAGTTTAAAAAACCCAGCTATGCATAATCTAATTTCCCGGGAACAAATGGAGGTTAATGGACTGGCACCACAGTCCGTGTTCTGCTTTTTCTCCTGACAATTACATTCCTCAGAGTTGGAAAATGTGGTACGCATATTTGGAAAGTGTGCAGCAGACTCTCAGAATCCTATTTACTGAAGTGAAACCAGACCAAGAGCATTTCCCCGAGTCAAGAAGTTCCCCCCCAAAGTTACCCGGCGCCACCACACTTTAAATATTAACATATCCTCAAAAAGGGAAAAATAGACCCTCAAACATCCCTCTGATCGTAAGGTTGCATTTCCCGGCTCTACTCTGCTGTCCGTAATTCCATTAGACCATTTAGTGTTGTGTAATGAGGAATAAATTGAATTCTGAATACATCTACTAAGCAAAGAATGGAACCTCATTGGTGGTGCAAATGCAAACAAACAGACAAAGAAAAAAATAAGTTATGCAAGTTCCCCTCAACCTGAAGACCCACATGATGCTCTGCATGGGACCATTTTCTTAACCCTTTAAAGCCCGATCCAAGAAAAATAGGAAGAATATTGGATTTTTTTAGTCTGAAGTCTTTCTTTGGCCCCTCAACAACACATGAAGAAAAAAAACAGAAATGATTTTGATCAAATTAGCGTGCAATAAGTCAAAAATATATGTTGGTGTGGTCTTCTACTGGCTGTTATCAGGTATATCTGAATGTGTACAACAGGGGTTTGAGCAAAGCTTTTACCACTGAATGATGCAGAAAGTCTCACATCCAAAAGAAACCCGATCAGATACGACACATTTGGCTTTATAGGGTTAAAAAGGAATAACTCTTTCCAAAAGACGTATTTTTTAAATATTTATTTACTTATTCTTTTCAATAAAAAGTGTGTTTGGCTGGAATTTATAGAAAGATTACTGGCTGTCTGAATGTTTGCAAATCAAACTTTTACGAAGGACAATGGACCAGCAAAAGCCCCTTTTCCATAAAAAGAAAAGGCTCCGAACAACTGATTAGTTTGAGAGAACTGAATGGAAGATAATGGAAACATGACACTATTAAATGCATAATATATCACAAGTGGGTATAAAAACTGATCAGAACAGCTAAAACAGGATCAAATTTGGCTATAAGATAGCTATAAAATGAGGGTTAATGAGTAATCTGTTGGAACCAGGAAGCACATTCAGTCCCACGTCAGCCATCTTTAAAAATGTTTCTCTTTATTCCTCATCACAGATCATTAACCTGATGTGTGTTTCCGCCTTTGGATCCGAGGCTGTGAAAGGCCTGTCTGTAAATGTTTGACTGACCTGTGTTAAAATGAGTAAACCGGAGCCGTTAAAAGGTCTAAAAGAGTTTGTGGTTTTTAGGGAATGAGTCTCCTCTCAGAGCTCTTAAAAACCAGTCAGAAATTAATAAATAAATAAGCAAATGACTTAGAGAGACAGCTTTTGAATTCTCAGCACGATTAAAATGTATTTTTATGACAATAGTGCACTAAGAATCTAAAGAGGATGTTGGGGTTGTCACATAGATGGTTTAAAAAAAGAAAATATCAGTAAAAAAAAAAGAAAAGGTCATTCTTTGAGCTCATTACCATAAAGTCCACTGTTCCATTCAAAGGATCTATGATCAGCATTCTGGGACTTAAAGGAGACATATTACACCCTATTTCAACAAGTTAAGCTAGCTCCCAAATTAGTGTGCAATAAGTCAGAAATCTATGTTGGTGTGGTCTTCTACTGGCTGTTATCAGGTATATCTGAATGTGTACAACAGGGGTTTGAGCAAAGCTTTTACCACTGAATGATGCAGAAAGTCTCAGATCCAAAAGAAACTGGATCAGATATGACACATTTGGCTTTATGGGGTTAAAAGCTTGCCTGAGCACACTCTGGTCCCGGAGTCACGTTCAGGCCGGTTGCAGCCATGTAGGTGCTGCCGATGGTCTTTATCTTCTCCACGCCACTGAACTTTGGCTTGGACAGCAGCTGGGGGCAAAATAAATACTGTTAGAACTGGGCTATAATTACTCACTTTAGCACAGTATGCTAGACTTATACTTATACTTACACTCCCTCAGGAAATTAAAGTTACCAGCAGCTTACAGGGCAAAAAAGTGGCACACAGAGAGCAAAATTAAGCAAAAAAATACAAAAAAATATTCACTAAATGTGAATAGCCAAAAAAAATAAGAATATAGATACAAAGTAAAAAATAAAAAAAAAACCTAATTAAAGCAAAAATAAGCAAGGAATAAGAATATAAATACAACGTGAAAATAAAGACCCCTTAGAAAATATAGGAGTTTGGCAGATAGATTGACCAGTGATGTGGCCTGATAAATATGGAGTTCACATTATAACTTAATCCATGTAAATTACTGATTGTCTTATTGCTTTTTAGATGGATATTATTCCCTTTATAATTCTACTTTTGGGTTAAACTCTCTGGCTGTGCCTCCTCCTCCTCTCTCTGTTACAGTATCTATCTATCTATCTATCTATCTATCTATCTATCTATCTATCTATTTATCCTCTCTCTGTTACAGTAGATACTCGTCTTCAAGCTCAACATCCACACTTTCTTATCACATTCCACCTAAACCTGCATGAATTAGGACCTGGCCTGTTCCTGTCAGAGCTAACTGGCCAATAACACTGACTTTACAACTTATACGTGGCCATTATACCGTTTTAAACTTGTTTTATGTTTTGTTACTTTTACCTTTTGTGTTTTACACCTTTTTGTTCGACAATGTCCCAAAAAATCAAAGAGAGATGACGATTACCTTACTAGCATGTTACTATAATGGCACTGCTAACAACTAAGCTAGCCGCTGCTTTTGGAGTTTAACCCTTTAAAGCCTGATCCAAGAATAAAACAAAACAGAAAATGACTTTTTTTTTTGGTTTGAATTCCTTATTCGGCCTTTTAACAAAATATGTTAAAAGAAAAAACTGAAATACATTTTTGATATTAATCATTTATTACTATGCAATAAGTCAAGATTACTTTTTCTGCCCCCTGTTATCAGGTGTATCTGATTGTGTACAATAGGATTTTGAGCAAAGTTTTTACCATTAAATTATGTAAAAGGTGTCAGACGCAAAACATTTCAGAAACAGTATCAAATATGATACATTTGGCATTACAGGGTTAAGGAATCATACTCAAAACTTGAGACCAATGAATGTCATATTTGTACTCTAGATCTTGTCCGGTTTATTCTCAGGCTTCCAGATAAAGGACCGGACTGAGTGACTACAGGTAGCTTTTTCTTTTTCATCATCAGTGAGCGTTTACCTCATCGAAGTCTGCTATGATCTCGTTTAGGAGACGGAGGCACTCCAGTCCCTCCTTGTTCACGTCGGACTCGGTGTAGAACTCTTTGAAGTCGGGAATGGAGGCGAACATCACACACACCGACTCGTAGGACTGATGGTAGAGGTCCTGATAACGAGCAGAAAAAGAGAGAGAGAGAAAGATCAGAGTGGGATTGATGGAGCACCGGGGGATAGGGTTGTCACGATACAGTGATCCCTTGCCACTTCGCGGTTCACTTATCGCGGATTCGCTATTTCGCGGATTTTCATAATGCATTTTTTTTTTTTTTTTTTGGTGCATTGTGCTCTGCATTCTGATTCGCTAAAAACTCACTCCCGCTTCTTGTATCAAAACATGCTACGAATTGTGCTATCATTTAGTCGTCTCGTACAGTTATGTGTACGTACATAAAACAGCTTGGCAAATTTACATTAAGTTGGCCAAATTATCTTGTAATTTCGAACATCTCCTAAACCCATAATGTCCACGAAACGGCCTGGACCGACACTAGTCACTTTATTTGTATACATGTAATAGTTGCTAATTGTAAAAAAAAAAAAAAGTTTTCTATTTCGCGGATTTCACTTATCGCGGGTCATTTTCGGAACGTAACCCCCGCGATAAACGAGGGATAGGGTTAGGGTAACCCTAACCCTAACCCTAACCCTAACCCTAACCCCACTAAAATTTTCAACTGGATACCGATACTCAGAAAAATACTCGATAC